GTAAATCAGAACTAAAACTTAGGACGTTCAAAAGTAAAACCAGAGCACAGTGCTCAAACACATTTCCAACAGGTTATGAACAACTTTGCCTTGGTGCCCGCAATAGGTGGGAAAGAGGGGCACCAAACAAGGTCTTAAACTGACCAGCAGTGTAAAGCAGGTGGTCTCTTAGCGTTGGGGATGGTGACTGTCATCTCACTTCCCTGGAGTGGAATGGGGGGAAGATCTGCATCTGGATCCGCGTTGAGGTTTCGGTTCCGCGGGGTGCCAGTGAGGAGATGGGGTAAAGCTGGAGGCTAGTCAACCCATTCAGGGAGCTCCGGCAGTGATCTCCAACTTGGAGCAAAAATGCGGTCCGAACACAATGCTGCAAGCACTATTTTGTTCGGACTGGAGCGGAGGCATAATGTGTCTTCCCATGCGGCCGATCGCATTGCAACCGGAGGGTGTGGCTACAGTGCAAATCACTTCATCGGACCACCACGCCCCCTCCTGTCCCACAACATAGTGAGTGGGCTGCAATGCGATGCAGTGCATTCTGGCCAGAACGCTCTGAATCTGGTGTGAACGAGGCCTAAAGGTTCTAACATTCCCCACTCTATTGTGTAACACTCTATTGTATATTGCAGTCAGTGTTAATTAACCTTCTTTTTCAGTTCTATATGACACGAGTTACCAGGACAGGGTGGTTGGGAGTATAATCTCCCAAAATGGAACACAGGCAGCACTGAAAACAGTCTGTATTTTCTAGTCAGTTTGTATTCTGTCCAGAAAGTTCTATGTCAACTATTGGCTAAAATCTGGCTCTGGCTTTTGAATGGCAAACCACAGTTGATACATTTATATCACTGCCAATTTCCAGGAATACTGTTTCACAAAATGATATGGCATTAGGTGTATGAATTTGTCATGGCGGCAGTTTATACTGTTCATACAGAAATAATTTACAAGCTTTTCTATAAGGAGATCAGTAAAAAAAAGGGCATTACACAATATATCTGCATTTCTGAAAAGTGATTAACTTCACTGCAAAAAAAAGAACACTAAACTTAAAATATGTAATTAATTGATTTTATTTTATGTTTAATTGACATACACTAAAATAAGTAATAATAACAAGATGTCCAAAGGCAAAAATGAATGTATACAGGAAAGACACTGCACTGACAAAGGAAAACAGTTAAACTATCCAGTTAATAGTGTAAACAAAGTACAAAATACTGGTACATCATTTTATAGCATGGCAAAGTTAATGGTCCAAAGATAGCAATGCTCCCCAGTGTTGCTCGACATAATAAGAAATCAGTACTTGCTTCTCGATTAGTTTTGCAACTTATTGAACACCAAAAATTAGCTGAGAAGAACTATTTTATTTTTCTACATTTATTAGGGCCTGTATCCTTAGCAAGACAACAGTGCTCAGTGCCTTTAAGCAAAAATCAAATCACTAAGGAATGGAGAGGAGAGAATGGAAAATGTTGACTAAATAAGCGCAGCAGCACATCTAACAGTATGTACAGCATGTTCAGTTTTTGTCCTAATTTTCCAGTATAGATTTTCACCCACTGTAAGTTACTGTAGTATCGAAGTCCAGCCCCAACGTACATGGATTTGTGCAAAAAGAAATATATGCAAGTGTGATTTTATAAAAAGGCATTCAATGAATAAGAAGTGCTCAGTGCTTTCTGTAAAAATATTTATGGAATATGTTTTTCTTTTTAGGATCCTGAAAATATAGTTCATGTATACTACATTACCAATTCCCTTTCTGTGGTAAGATGTCAATGTAAAGGCTTCAGATAAACTATAGTCAATGAATTTTATTATTTGCCTAGCAGTAGTTTTGCATCAGACACATTTTTTACCCTGCTGAGTTCAAACAAAGTTCACTGCACCTCAAACATTAATAAAAGGTTAGACCAGTTTACAGTGTTGTGTTATGTAGTGCCCACAGGCTTTTCATAAATGTCTATTTATGAATCTCTCAGTTACACCTTAAATGCAATTAGCAATGATTCCGACATCCAGGCCCATAAAATCATTATTTTAATTAAACACGGCAATAAAATGTGGAAAAGATTCAAGTACAGATACTTGAGTCGATCTGTCATATTTACAATCCAGATCCCTAGTGTATTTTCAAAACATATTTAACTACAGCAATTAAAAGAAACATGAGTAAAATAATTGTAATTAAGTCAAAGCTGTGCCAAGTATGTCAACATGAGTTCCAATGTTCCAAATAACAAAAGACCTCCAAGCCAAAGTGCTACATGTAAATAGATGTATTTAAGTAAAGTTAACAGAACCCTAACTCTCATACTTAGCACGCGCTAGGCAAGGGAAGACAGCTGTTGTCCACAGCAGGCATTGTCCACAGCATATTAGGCTACATTCACAAAGCTTTGACACAAGGACAAGTATCTTTATTATAGCCATGTAACAGTAATTGTCAAATCGTATGTGACTCAACTGAAATTACTTTTTTGAAAACCTTTATCCTGGTGTGTTAGCTTTGGGAACTGATCCTTTTGTGTTGCTAAGTGAAAGCGAAAAAAATGTACTGATAAAAAGGCTTGCAGAGAGCATTTCAAAGCTTCTAACAGCTTACAGCCTATATAAATAATTAATGAGGTGAAAAGAGTTAGGTAGTAGAAATCCCAAAATAAGCAGAGCTCAAAGAATCATGGAATAGGCAGCTGACAACCCTAAAGGCCTAGAATGCACCCACACTGCACAGTCGCTGCCCTAAATGAAGTACATAACTACATTTCTGTAAGGAAGAAAAATGAGGCCATGTTAGTTAATATCCTTTTTCTTTCAGCAGAAGTATACTTAAACCCATGCTTAGGTTTATTTACTGTACATGTGTCCTTTTACCTAACTTTTCTGACACAGACAGCAAACATTAAAGGAGAACTATGAGGTGAGTGCTTTTCACTCACCTCATAGTTCTAGCCGACATGTGACAATGAGACTGTCACAGGTCGGCTCAGTAGATCGGGAGGTGAGGGAACAGTTACCGGCGTTCGCTCACCTCTCGATCCTGTCACAGCTCTCTGCCGTGACAGGGGAGGGGCTGGATTCCCCCCTCCTCGCTCCGATCCGCCAGCGCTGACTGGCGGAACGGACGGGGGAGGGGGCGGGTACAGCTGGCTCTGTCTCTAGATAGACACGCAGCTGGGCGGATCCTGGCACAATTGTCAGGATCCGCTTCAGCTGCGGCGTCTCAGTATACCGCGAGCAGCAGCTCGCGGTATACTGCGGCGTCTCAGTATACCGCAAGCTGTAGCCTAGGGTGACGGGAGGACGCTAGTTTGTGTCCTCCCGTTACCCTAAGGAGAACTATGGAGAAAAGACTTAACCCCATAGTTCTCCTTTAAGTAATAGGGACATTAAAATATGACGGCATATCTAGAGGGCACCTTGATACTACTTCAAAGTTGCTCTACAGATGTTATGAATCTCGTAGGAATCTGTGATTATGTTAGCAGTCATCTTGATACTAACATAATGCAATCAGGGAAGAGAACAACTGCTTTCTGCAAATAAACTACTAATTCTAGTGCAGAGTATGGAGTGATGTAACCCTCTTGACAATGAAAGGAATAACTTTCTTTTACCATTTAACTTTTTTATACCTAAATTAAAATAGTCACTTCAGCCTATTTATTAAAGCAAAGTACAGTAACCTATAGCAGCGGGTCAGAAACCATCTTTCATTATTACAACTTCTTCCAACTAATGAAGTTTAGTCTGATTAGTTGCTATGGGTTATTGCACTTTGTAGATTTTCACTGATTTTGAACACATGTATATGGAAGTATGTATTTTTTACTATTATTTTTGTGCATAATGTTTTTAGATAAAAATATATATCTGTATAGTATTCATCAGTGTTTCAGATGTTAAAAGTAGGTATTATGCTAGCAAAGTGCAAATATATATTGCACCGTTTACATTCTGGTATTAAAAAATGTTTTAATTCTTAAGTGACAATAGCAACAAGAACCTTGAAACAGGCCACTGCAACTCACCCTTGATATATTGTGCATGCAATACCAGAGAGGACAGTTTAAAGGAATACAATCCCAAGAACTTGAGGCACCATTCAGCATCTAGAGGAGACTATGCTTGCACACAAAATAAGCAAATAGAAAACAAATTATATTGGTAAAGTAACTGAGCCTGTGCTAATGTATATGTCCAAAAGGAAACAGCAGACCCAATACTCCATTTTCAATCAAGCAAAACAGAAACGGAAAGCTCTTTTCATATAAGTAAACTATGATTTTCAATATGAGCAACATTGAAGATGTGCATTTTTTCATGTCACTTTGTAGGAGATCAATTTAGTTAAACTGGTAAATACTATACAGAATAATATATAATAATATTTTTTTGATGAAATGAGACCAAATATCATAGAAACAGTGCTCCTAGTTTCACAACAAATAGTAGACCAAATAGTAAATGAAAGGTAGAGGTAGTATACCAATATGGGGAGAACATGTACACCACACTGTATAAAAATTCTGCTGTCTAATCACAGTACAAATACTAGCAGCTGCATAGACTACACATTTACTAGAAGATGAGTTTGTGCCATTTAAATTGGTATTAATTGAGCTACTGAGATTGTGGTACATTTGTAGTTATATACTGCTAAATTATATTATAGGTTTTTACTACAGTTACTGAACAACCTTTAATTAAAACATTTCCATTTGCAATAAATCTTAACAAGGTACAATTGAGATTTGGCTTTAAAGGTATTTTTCAAACTATGCATTAGGAAATATTGTTTTGCTGTTATAAATAGCAGTTTAGTTCAGAGTCCTAATTGTATCCCAATCAAAAAACTTTTTGTGATAATGCACAACACCTATCATACTGATGATGTTCAGACAATCTAACTGCAGACCCTCATTTAGCATAGACGAAAGCAAAAAGCAAGAAAAATGTTAAGACCGCCCAACCTATTTCTAGTAGGATAATTAATTCTACTTTTTCATATTATTCAATTTCTAAGAGAAGATCTTCTCCTTCCAGGTGCATGTCAGCTTTAATGTAGATTTTCTTCACTGTTCCTGAGATTGGTGAGTTGACCAATGTTTCCATCTTCATTGCACTAAGAACACACAAAGGCTGACCTTTTTTAATTGTTTCCCCCTCTTTAACCTTGATATCAATCACTTTTCCTGGCATAGGAGCTCCAATCTGTCCTTTTACATCTTTAAGGGCTTTAGGGTGGAAATGCATCTCCTGTGAAGAGATAGAAATCAACATTATGTAACAACATAAAAAACTATAGCCTAAATACCCACGGACTACATTTAACAGAAATGTTGTAAAAGTTGCCACAGACAGGAGATGGTGGTGAAAAAAAAAATCAATTTGCTTAACAATTGTCATTTTGAACAATCATGGCATAAGCAATGACATCTTTATCAGCCATGCATGTATATTTATGCACTAAGCATCCATAATCATTTATTTAACCATCTGGCCTTAACCAGATCAAGCAACTTTATCTCATATCTAGAGGGCACCTTGATACTACTTATCCAAATTGACATAATACAAGAGAAAACGCATTTCATGTTTTAAATTGCAATTAAGATGCAGGATTAGTTATGTACACTTAGGAAACAAAGAATGTATTGACAATAGAAAGTAGGCGTGTCATTTTCTAGTGCATTTTGGAACACAATACAAGTGATTAATTGCCACAGGCATCACATACTTTGATCTCCTTCAATTTTATTTTTATTTTTACCAATGGCTGTTTGTCTAATGACTTCTTAACAATGTGGAAAATCAGGCTGCAGCAGTTATTCCTGTAGATACATGTCCTGTATGTACAGTATGCTAGTTGTTGCTTGCTAAATCATCCTTTCACCACATTTCTGCATATAAGCATTACATAACTTAAGAATAACTTAATAAATAGATATTAGTATTATAATTAGTAAAAATATCTTTTTTATACAGCGGTCATGTGACACTTAGTTGTAGGAGGGGGATGATGAGTGTGACCAGGATGTAAAATTAAAAATAAATGTGATATCTGGTGGATCCAAGGAGTACATTTTTTCTAGAGGTGCACCAAAATGAAAATTTTCAAACGAAAATAAAAGAATTTCAGGCCGAAACTGAAAAAAAGATTTCTAATCTTTTTACATTTTTTAAAATATGTTATTTTTTATAAACTTTTTAAAGTGTTATATTGTATTTATATTTATTAAATATTTTTATTTTGTAACTTTAACTGATCCTTGATATTTCCCTTTAAAAAAAAAAAAAAAAAGAGATTAGGACATCACACAATCCAATCTCTTGTTCTGCATCCCGTTATAAATGAACACTAATCCTCTATACTGAGTGTTCCTGTTCATTCATACACAATTATGAATGGAACAGTAAGTGATGCACTTCCTATTCATTCATAACTGGTACATATTATGTTCAGTTATTTACAACAGTCAGTGATCATTGATCGAGTTTCTTGATTGATTGAGTTTCTCTCCTACCTGCTGGACGCTACTCTGTGTCAGAAGGGAAACAGCGCAAACACAGCGGGGAGGGGAGAAACTAGGCATGCACTGCAACTTCATATAAAAGATGGTACTTTCAGCATTTTGCCAAAAGTGCCATTTTCGGCTGATAAGTTTGGGCGGCCGAAATTTTGTGCATCCCTAATTTTTTCTTTTTGTTCTATGTGTTATGGAAATTCGCTTGGTTCAACGCACAAATCCATGCCGCACTAAACTGCTCCAAAGTATGTAAAACACAAAGAATTTTCCCCCCGTGCTTAAAAGCACAGTTGTATTATGCTCTTTTGTGCAAGGACTGAAAGGACCTCTTTAGAGTCATGTAGAGTCAGGAGCTTGCTTGCTTCTTCCATGCTAAGAGACCCAGCACAGGTATGTGTTTATTGTTTTATAGCTGCCCAACAGGAAGTGATGTCAGACAGCAAGTGGTCTCACGCAGCAAAACAGGAAGTGATGTCAACAACCAGCAAACGATTTCAACAACCAGCAAACCAGGAAGTGATGTTAACAACCAACATCACTTCCTCAATACATAGCCAGTCAACAAAACACATGTAGACAATAATCTATTACCACCGGAGTGAACTTTATTCAGCACAGCTCAGTGAGCAATGCCCAATAACGTTACTATGATTCTAATGCGCGCTTATTTACAGGGACAACATCATATTATCTCCAGAGGTTGATCAGGCGCACTAGAGACAACAAACACACGTTCCTTTCATCATATACTGCGTTCAAAACAAATGCATCCACGCAAGCCAATAAATCCATGCATTGCACGGGGGGCCCCAGCCGGCATCCATACATTCGCCAAGAAGACACTGCTCCGCTGCGCATAAGATATCTACTCCAATGGTCTACTCTTAGTGGGGATTTAAACCGGGTCACGCTCCAATTGGACGTGACGCAGCAAACCCTGACACTGAGAGACATAATTAAAAAATATTACAATACACTAAAAACACATCCTAATAAAATTTCCACAACATATGGGACCTGCATACATCACAACAGCAGTGCCAATTGGTGCTCTTGCAGTCACGTGGGGACCACTGTCACTCACTATGCTGGCCCTGCCCAAGCAGGTCAAAAGTGTCAGGTGGGGCAGCTTCCGGAGGAGAATATAGGAAGTAAACAGCTTCACCCAGGGGAAGAACTGGGGATGCACAGTGAAGATGGTATTGCAGAAGATGGAAGACCAGATGAAATAGCATTGAGACTCTGAACCGTGAAGGAAGGACACATACCAGGTTCAAATAGGTATTTACCAAATAAGATTACAGTAATGCAAAAAATATTAAGCACACAACAACAGCTAATAATTTAAGCCAATTACCTCTAACAATGTTTGGGGTTTTATATTTTCACTTATTAAAAATACCTGTGATTTTTAGTGACTGGAGATTTACAACTTTTAGGACTGAAACCATAGTACTTCAAACTCAAAATAAAGGAGTCTAGCTATTAAAATGAAGGATTTTGTTTATTTAGGCAGTGGTTGTCACAGGCCTGATACATGAATTACAGGCATAGATTGGTACTGAACTATTATAAACTCAAATTATATTGTTTCATGGCACTACATGGTGCCATAGGAGCATGGCTGTAATGCTGGCAACAGGGAGGATGCTGGGCAGTACACTGTAATATATAGCCTATGCTTTTAAAGTTTTGTAAGGGCCCATTTACACCAGGGTGATCAGTTGCAGTGCATTTAATGCATTATAGTAATTTATGTTAAAGTGACACTAAATTCAGAAATCAAATTTAAAAAAGCACTTCTATTATATAAATTATCAATGAATGTGTATCTTAATTTCTCATTGTTCAGCTCTAAAATCCCATTTTACTTTTCTTCCACCACAACTTCCTGCCAGAAGGTGGCTACTTTTCTTCTCCATCGTCCCTATGTGTGCTGAAAAGTAGTCACCCTCTGTGCTCGCTCCTGTGAGAGACTACAATTAGAATCATGAATCTCTCTCAAGTCTCCTCTTTAGACTCCACCCACAAGTCCTCCCCTCTAGGCTCTGAGTTCTGATCACTGCAATAATATGACCAGATGTGGGATTGTTTTAAAAACACACTACATACTGCTACTTCAAAGTGTATACCATTAGGGAGCAAAAGCAAACGATCAAAGACTAAACCAATATGGTTTAATAAAACTGTAAAACAACACGTCAAGGACAAATTCGTTATATCCACAACAAATCTGTCCTCTGATTTCCCTCCTCCTGGCTTACACAAGATGGTGTGTGTGTGTATGTATGTGTAGGGTTGGGTAAGCTGAATGTCTTGTCATGAATATTATGTCAGCTGTCAACAGACTGAAGACCATCCTCTGCAGTTGATGGATAAAGCATTTTATGGATAAAACATTTTTCCTTTGCACTGACAGCAGAGTATTTCTCTCTGAAACATTGCATTGCATTTTCTGGCTAAACTGATAGCTCACAGAGACTGGATGAGAGACTCTATTGGTTACTGCTGTAGGAAGCCCAGCCCTGACAACAAAGGCAAGGAAGGACTTGATTGGATAGCAGCCAGGAGAGCTGTGATTGGCTGCCAGGCCGTTTTTTGGCTCCAGGGACACCATGAGGAAGGCAGACTGAGGAGAGAGAGGAAAACACAGGGAGAGGGACACAGACTGGTATGTTGCAGCCAGACATGGGAAAGTGTCCCTTGTGCTTGTCTTCTGTGCACTGCCAGCATCTGTGATTCTGTCTATGATTCTTCTAAAAGGAGGAGCAGGCTTGAGAGGGGAGTTTGCAGTGTGTTATTCTACCCTTTTTGCCTGATCGCTGAAGATGTGCTAACAGTGCAGTGACATCTAGAGACGGATTTCGGTACTGCAGCAATCATCATCCTGTTTGGAGGATTCTGTGGCCTGTGTTGCTCCCATCGCCATCCAGTCGGCTGAGACAGCGATCAAGCTACCAATTGCTGGAAGGAAGATATATCAAGTGCATCTAATGATGAGAGATCTTCTGCCATTTTTGTGTGAGTTGATCTTGCTTATTCCTGCAAGATTCTATTTACTGCCAATACAGCTCTATCTGAAGGTGGATCACCACATCTGTTTATCTTTGTTACCCTGTGACACTTTGTGAAGATACCCCTTTCCAGCCTGTGGATTACCAATGTTGGTTCACAAAAGGCTGAGAACTCAACCACAGAATTTAAAGGGCCCCAACGCTGGCAGACTCTGTGTGTGTGAATACTCACCTGCTGCTTGTGCAGTGTGGCCAGTCAGAGCATTTTCTCAGGGGGGGGTAATTGCCCAGTTCCCCCTCCCCCGAGAAAATAGTCTCTCCCTCCGCCACTCTGACTGGCCGCACCGCACAAGCAGCAGGTGAAGAGGTCCCACGACGTCACTTGTATCCGCCCCGATGCCGGCTCCACGGCACACAGCCGCAGAATTTAAAGTATGTCCTGTGCCTCAGTCTTGTCGGCTACCGAGGCACACCGCTCTCCATCCTGAAGAAGAAAAAAAAATTGCTACTTACCTCACCGCTCTCCATCCTGAGTTCCATGCTGGAAGGCTGCATTCTTCATTACTTTGGAGCACACTGACATGCTGATCTCTCCAGCACCCTTGTGTGTGGAATTAGAAGTCTGCTAACTGCAAGTATACCTTTAAGTTGGCAAAGTTAACCCTTCACTGACATTGCTGGGATTGTTATTAATTTGTAAATGGTAAAAGTACTG